CCGCAGCACCGAGTTCGCCCCTGCCCGCGCTCGCGCCGGCTCCGCGCCACGACCCTGCCGGCTGCATGGAGCCCAGCCCTCCACCTCGCGGGTCCAGGACCGCCGCAGCCGGCCGAGACCCTCCGCGGCGCGGGGCACTCGGCCTGGCCTAGCCCACCCAGCGACCCAATTGGGGGATCCCTCTGTCCTGCGCCCCGAGACCAATGCCGCATCCCCCCAGAATCGCGCTCTCCAGTCCGCCCCTGGAATCCCCTCTCCCCTCCCGGGAGGCAAACACACGCCCGCGGGACATTCCAGGACGCCGCCCTCCGACCACCGCACTGGGAGCACCCAAGCCTGCGCCCCCCGTAGTCTCCACACCGAGTATCAGGGCCCCACGTCCCCACCCCCCGACCTCCATCCCCAACCAGCACCCCCAGGAGTCTCTCTTGCCCAGGCCCCATCCCTGCAGCCAGGGGCTTCATCCTCGCGGAGCTCATTCCCCGCCCTTTCAGGGGTCCCCCCACCCACTGCCGTCCCAATATCTCCGAGGTCCCCCAAGCTCAAAGCCACAGCTCCAGCAGCACAAACCCTCCCACCGAGAGCCCCTTCTGCCTTCCCCTAGCTCCCGCTCCGGCTCCGTTCCAGGCCCCCCAGGCCGCCCAGCGGCCCCAGCCAGGGATCCTTCTTTCTCCTCTTTAAATGTCCCACCTCCAGCCATTGAACTCGGACCTGATTAGCCGCACCTCTCACCTCCGGCCGAAGATGGTGGCGCCGGCGTACGTCCCAGCCGCGACCACAGATCCAGCGTCTCAGTCCCAAACCCACCGCTCCCTCCGCGGGGATCCTTTAGCACTGCTGGTTGGCTCTGCCCCACCCACTCCCACCCTCATTGGGCCAGCTCCACGCCCATCACCGCCGCCCCCAGACCCACTGGTCCGTTTGCGCGCCCATCTCCAAGGGAAGACGTTAGCAACCCGAACGAAGCTACCTCTCCCTAGTTCGGCTCCCTCCACCAACCTGAATGATGCTCATTGGCTCCCGCGCCCAACCCAGGCAAACAAAGACCAGATTTCTTAGGCTACCATTCACGCCCATCACCGACTCCGGGAGGTGCGGCCGCGGCACTCGTACGCGATTGGCTGGCTCGCGCGGAGATGGACAGCTGAGGCTGGCGGGGCGCCTGGCAATCCCGCGAGGCAGCGGGTGCAGACCCTGCAGGGACCTGCACTCCGCACTGTCTTCCGCGGTGGGAATCGTGAGTCAGGTGTAACGCAGCGGCCACCTCAGGGCCCCGAGATCTGACAGGACGCAACTATTCCTACGTCAGGACCGCATCTGCAGCCCACTCGAGCTTTTGGCCACTCTCTTTGCCGCAGCCGGCGTGTCCCGGTACAATACGGACTCCAGCTCCGAGTCCTCGGCCCCTAGCGCTCCCCGCAGGGGCGGGGCCGGAGCGCGGTCCAGAGGCCTTACGTCACCCCCGGGCTGCAGGGAGTAGGGGCTGCTCGGTGCGGCTCACCTGCAGTGGGGGAGGTGAGGCAGGTCTGGGGTGTAGCTCTGCCCATGCGCACAGGCTATGCGGGGCGCTGCCTGCGGTGGCCCTGCTCAGGCCGCTGTCCGAACCCGGGTTCTGGAGCTGACCCGGCCAGCACTGGTTTCTCTGCTGTCGCAGTTTCAGTGTTACGGAAGAGAGCCTTCCTACACAGCCCCCAGGCGGGGCTAAATTCCAGAATAATGAGAGGCGATCCTGCCTGGGAGAGATGGGGGAGAGGAAGGACTTCGTTCACCTCATTCATTCATTCCTCAAATAGAACTCATTGCCTAAGTGCGTCTGTAAGGAATTCTTAGGAATGTAAGACTGCGCTTCTGCAAGGCTATTGGTCATAGCCCTAAGGGCCTATGAGTTTTTCGAGGGTCTTAGAAATCGTTTGAGACCGGAAAATGGAAAAACTCCAAAATAAGGAATGAGGAAAGAGGAATCAATTAATAAATGTCTGCAGAATCTAGTCCATTGCAACACCACTCTTATATATGTATAAAGTATATGTAGATGTAACACATCTTCTATTACACTATCAAAATCACTTATGTAAAGTGAAAATTACAAAAATTTACAATTGGACGTAGATATTTAATATAGAATCTGCGTGTGTTTTGATACAATGGTATGATTAAGTGCAGAAGTATAGGACACTGCCAGTCTTATAAAGAGTGAATAAAACAAGGCAGGAAATGGCAAGAAAGGGCAGGTACAATTCAGAAACGGTACCCAGCCTGAGCAGAGTCTTTCCTGGGGAAGTCTGAATCTGTCTCATATTGTCCCTTTGTCTTGGCACTTCTGGTTCCTCACCCCCACCTGCTTACTAGAACAGCTGCCCCTCATCCAGGTGTCTAGTGGCTTGGCTCCAAGAAGAGGTCTGTTTGTCTTAATACAGTCTGCCCACTGAATACCAGTTAACTATGTAATACCAGAAAACTGTATAACATTTTCTAAGACACTTGGAAAAACTCGTAGACCCTTGTGAAAGGTGATATGTGGATGATAAGGACCATTACTCCTCTGAATTTTTAAATTGGTTTATTGTTGCTGCATGCCATTGTGTCAGAACCCACCCAATAGCTGTCCCTCCAGTGGGTTGTCAGAGGCTGGAACTTAATGCCTTTGGGATGGCAGGGCAGCTCCTTTCCACTAGGCCACCAGTGCTCCCTTAAATATAAATAGATTTAAAGACCAAAGAAGCCCTGGTAGCAAGCACAGTGGTTAAATACTCAGTTGCTGATGGAAAAAGTCATGAGTTAAACCCAACAGCCGCTCAGTGGGAGAACAGACTTGACCATCTGCTCTCTTCTATTGCTGCCAGGAAAACCCTATGGGCCAGTTCCACTCTGCTGTACAAGGTCGTCATGAGCCAGAATCAACTGGGAGGCACCAGTTTGGTTGGGTTTGCGGTTTGTTTGTCTTTTTTTTTAAATGAGTAGAAATCAACAATACATAACAACTACAGAGAACACCAAACAATGACTTACCTCAGCTTTATCAGTAGCCAATCACTTCTGAAAGCAGAGTATTGCATACTTAGAGAATGGGACATAGCAGCCCTGTGCTTTCTCATAACTTTAATAAAACTCTGAGCCGTCAGAAGAGAAGGGCAGGAAGCTCCCAGAGATAAGCATCATAAACATGTTTGTTGTTGTTGTTTTGTGTGCCATCGAGTGTACAATAGCCCTAAACCCTGCTCTATCCTGTGCCAATCTTATTGTCTCTGACACAACTACCTCCATTACCCCAGTCACTGATTTAGTTCATCTCATCAAGGGTCTTCCTCTCTTGTGCTGTCCTTCCACCCTCCCAAGCATGACATCCTTCTCCAAAGACTGGTTCCTCCTTGCAACATTTCCACAGTAGATTAGATAAACCTTCAGAATCCTTGCCTCCAAGGAGCAGCCTGGTTTCACCCTCTCTAGGATGAACTTGTTTTTTTCTCTTAGCAGTCCATGATATGTTCAGTTCTCTTCCCCAGCACTACAGCTCAAAGACATTAATTCTCCTTCTATCATCTCTAGTCATCATCCAGCTCTCTGATACATAGCAAGTAACTGCAAAGATTAGGCGCACCTAAGTCTCCAGAATGACATCGCTGCTCTTCAGTACTTTGGAGAGGTCACTGACAGCAGACTTTCCCAATGTAATTCGTCATTTAATTTCCTGGCTGCTGGTACCAAGAGTGTTGATTGTGGAGCCAAGTAAACAAAAACTGTTAACAGTCTTAAATCTCTTCACCATCTATTATGATGCTACCAATTGGCCCAGTGGTAAGAATCTTTGATTTCTTGTTGTTGAATCCATATTTAAGGCTGCAATCCTTGACCTTCTGCAGCCAGCGCTCCAGGTCCTCCTCAATGAGAAATAATTAGTAAAAACGTCCTCAAATGAATGTTTTGCCTTGGCCTCTCTTGGATGTGATTGCTACATTTTCCTTTGTCTGCTAGATATCACTACTTGAGTAGAGGGAAACTGCAAATATTGTTGGTCCCAGAACCTCGTGTTTCCTGCCACTTCACTGTCACTGCATTACCCCGAAGGGCTCTCTTCCTACTTTGTCTATTAATAAAGCCAGTCTTAAACCTTCTTGGATTTCTACCTCTCCATATCTAGCCTTCTTCACTTCATCATCCTTTCCAGGAGAGCTTTTCTTGACTCCAGTTTCACCCTCACACTGTACCTTCATCCCTAAATCTGCTGCCATTTGATGTTCCCTGATAGGCTTCTCTGAGGAGCTCTGGTGGTAAAGAGCTGTGCTGTCAACTCAAAGACAAGGGGTTTGAACTCACCAGCTGCTCCGCAGCAGAGAGGGACAATCTCCTCCTGTGCCGTTTACAGCCTCTGAAAACCCTCTGGAGGTTTAGCTTTGAGTTGATTCTGACTTGATGACACACAACAACAACATGCACTTCTCTAACATAGGAAGCGGATCGCAATGGGGAAAACTTGATATTTCAAACCAAGCAAACCTGTCTTTTGAGTTCAGCTATGCCATTTACTAGTTACTTAATAACCTTTGATTAGTTAATTAACCTCATCTATAAAAAAGGAGATACAAATCCAAAGGGTTCATTCTATAAATATGTAACAAGATGATTTACCGAGGCCAGAGTTAGGGGTTAAGGGAGTACCATTATGAATAAATCCACTGAGAAACTGGCTACGTGTTTTTGTTCTAATCTACAAGTTGACTATAATAGATTAAGAAAGCCTTCCCCTTCTCCCCAGAGTAGTTTTTGCTGGAGGTCTGAATTGCTTTTATCCCCCAAGAAAGAGGTCACTAACCATGCAAGGTCTAGGTCAGAAGTCCAAGCTTGTTTCCTAAGGGTAGTTCCAGCCCATGAACCTGTTTTGTTCTAACTATTCCATCTGTACAGTGCTGATAGGCAACATTTAAAACATTTGAATGAACGCCAGCATTTAAAAATAAAGAACTGTCCAACATCATTGCTGGGAAATATAAACCCAGACCAAAAGGAGATAGCACTTCACACCCATTAAAATGATCATAATATAAAAGGCTGATCATGATAGCAACTGGTGTCCAGAATGTGGAAAGTCCTTTCTGGTGGGAATGAAAAATCATGCATCTGCTTTGGAGAATAGGTTGGCAGTTTCTTATAAATTTAAACATTTCATTTATGGCCAGACAATTCTACCCTTAGGTATCTACAGGGGAAAAAAGGTAAATAAATATCAACACAAAGACTTTCATGCAAATGTTCTTAGCAACTTTATTTGTAATTGCCAAAAGATGAAAACAATCTAAATGTCCACCAACTGATGAATAGATAGCCAAATTGTCCTCTGTCTATACAGTGGGATGACAGCAAAAAAGGGACAAAGTAGAGATAAATAAGATAACAGGAATGAACCTTTAAAAAAACCCAAAACCAAATTACTGGTTCAGTAAAAGAAGTTGTACGCAATAGATCACACATTGTGTGATCCAATAAGACAAAGCTTTAGAGTCAGGTTCAATTTGTTGAAGTTAATAAATGTTGCTTTTTAGATCAAGGCATGTGGTCTGTAGTTTACCGTTGTATTCACCACTCTTGTCGTTAAAGCTGCCCTATTTTTTTTTAAATTATTAGTATTAATTTTAATGAAAATTTACAGACTTTGGATTTCCATTCATTCATTGTTGTGCATTTCTCTCCTCTCAACCCTCCCCCCCAAAACACTACCCTCTTGGAAAAGTAAAAGAAAAATTCTTTCATTGTTATACAATCCCTTGCCCCAAGTCCACTCCACTGTGCAGCCTTCTTTCTGAACTCCTATCATGACAATAATACCTAATCACATATCCCT